CACGCAGGATGTGTCGGTGCTCTCGATCTCCTGCAGGATGCGTTCGTGCTTGGTGACGCTCTCCAGGCTCTCGCTATCTGCCATCTTGCAGGATGAAGTTCCCGGGCTGCCACAGGTGACAGGCGTGGGAGCTGCTCTGGAGGTAGAGCGATGCCAGCAGCAGCTCCTAGAGAGAGCCGTCGAGACGCCGTCAGCATAGAGAACAGCGCAGCTACAGCAGATGCTATGGATTCAAGGGGAACACTAATATCAGGGTCTGCAGAGAGAAGCCCCAATATCAGGGTCTGCTTACGGGGAGCCTCAATATTGGGGTCTGCCAGGAGGACCACCATATCACGGTCTACTGAGGAGCTTACATTTATTAGCTGCAGAGCAAAGCGCAGGTCCTGCAGGACTACTAATGGGAACAGCATTCCTGCTGTTGAAAAAATGCAGGAACGCCATTCCCACACGTTCCTGCAGGACTCGAGCCTTGCCTCCAGTGTGCTCACATCCCTGGGACCACTGGATAGTGTGCTGAGCTGGGTGTGGAGGGGCACACAAGTTAGTGATTATAGTCTTTTAGGAGATGGTGGTTGTTGGGAGCTCTGTACAGGACCGCAGTGACCAGGATTTCTGTCACGCTCCCCTTCTCTGGCAGACACGACTTGACCCTTTCAGATCAACTTTGGGATGTCCTGAAAAAAGTCATTAAGAAACTAGCTCAATCTGCCAGGACAACCTGTTGGCATTCCCATTTTGCTTACTGGGTAGTTAGTGAATGCTAAAGGCATACAATTCCACGGCCAGGCTCCAAAATAGCATATGTGCATTCTCCCCTGCGACTCAGTTCATCCAGACCAAGAGGTTATGGTCTGTGATGAGAGAAAAGGCATGACCGTACAAGTAGAGTGTAAGCTCTTTCAGAGATCAGACCAGGGCCAAACACTTTCTCCACTGCAACACAACTCACTTCCTGTGGTAAGAGCTTCCAGCTGATGTAGGCAACACAGTGTTCTCCTCCAGGTCTCCCGACCTAGCACAAAACTGTTCCCAGTCTAAACATCTAGGCATCTGTACGTACGATAAAGCACTTGTTAGTATCTAGAGAGTCAGGATGGGGACAATAATGAGGGCTTGTTTCAGAGTCTGGAAAGCTGTTTTACATTCAGGAGGTTTTTTCCTCTTTTAAAGTCCATTAGGAGTTGAGAGATAGTGAAAAATCCTAACTTGTCTTCATATGGGGTGTGGGCCAATGGGCCACAGGCTCGATCTTGGCTGGGTCCAGCCATTGCTTCCCACACCCCACTCAGTGTCCCAGATACTGTACTTCAGACATAGCAATGGGACACATCTCTGCCTTAAGCTGGCATCCCTGATCCTGTCCAGGACTGTCCCTACGTGCTCTAAGTGAGCATCCCAGGTATAATGTAAACGTCCCCTGGAAATGTGGTCTAGTAGTTCATTTACCTGGTGCATCAGTTACAGTTTTGTCATATAGTAGCCTGTAGTCGACAAAGAAGTGGGTTTTCCTGTCCCACTTCAGTACCAAGACTATTTCCTGAATTTCTTTTTGCATCCCTTCCCGGACTCTCAGAGATGCGATACGAGGGTTGCCTCAGGGGTGTCTGCCCAGAGGTCTCTACCTTGTGTACTGCAGGGCCGGCACTATCATTAGGCTAATTAGGC